CGAACCTTTTCGAGATGGTTCGAGGAACTCCAGATAGGCCTAACGTTCCACGTCCGCACTCAAATGGTTCGTGAAAGTATGAATAGGCCTGCAATTGGCCTAACGTTACGCGTCCTCAATGAGATGTCTCGAATTCCAAGGATTCACCCTTATAGGCCTAATTAGCCCCATAAATCGAGAATTTAGTTTCTTTTGAAAGAAAAAAGATAGGACTTGGCTTGACCTGCAGGCAGCCTGTTGGTTAGGCCTAGTCCTAACGTTAGTGAGTCCTGTAGAGAGGCATGGGGGGGGGGTGATTAAAGGGAAAGCCATTGAAAGTAAGTTTATCACATTACTACATTAATAATAATACCGGAACGAAATTCACATCTTCTAAAAGCGAGATTCAGTGATCTCCACAACCTCGCGGAGATGGAGATTCAAATTTGCAGGGGCGATTTTTGTTGTTGTTGAGAGAGGAAGTTTTCCAAATTTCGTTCCTGTTGATGCTCTCTATGAGGAATACGAGACTGTTGAATTTTGTCACTGGAAGGGGTTCAAGAAAGGTAATGGGTGCTGCCAAAGCCCATTGATGGAATATTTATTAACTGAGAGCTCGTGCAACGATTCTTATGGTTTTCATATGGATGGTAAGGGACCTGTGGTGAAGAGGACCGAAAGATACGTCAGTTTGATGCCATCTAATAGCTGTTTTTGGTTATCACTTGAATGTCCTCGCAATTTCTTGAGCGCAAATGAGTCCCTTTTCAAATCAACTTTTGGGATTTCCCTCCCGCATTCTGCCAAAATGGCATTTTGAATTTAGGTTCGCCATTTGACTGAGCATGCCATCCGTTTCAACGAGGCCATATCAGTAATAACACCGACCCGAGGGCCTATCGGGGAGCGAGCTATCCATTGCATGTCACTTGAGAGCATTGACCACCCCCCCCCCCCCCCCCCTCCTCCCCCATTCTTCCTTCAATCTCTTCATTTAGTCGCATGGCAGTGGAAAGTATTTTATTGCGAGAGAGGGTGGGAGGTTTTTCGTCTGGATCTTGTTGAGAGCTCCCGACTTGGATTTGTCCCCTTAGCCTTGTCGTTTTCTTGCACTTCCACAGGTATCGGGTGTTTTTCGTACTTGATCGAAATCATCTTTGGGGTGAATATGAATGCAGGCGCAGGTCTACTTCCAAGGCCTTCCCATAGGTACTCAGGGGAACTGGCTGATATTTCGATCGGTCTGTCACATTTATATTATTATTATTATTTTCTCATTCTGTCTGGCCCGCAGTAACCATAGCGACCGGACAACACGACCCGCTGTGCTTGTGCAGCTTTCCGCCTGGATCGGGGTGCCCGTCTTCCACTGAAACATCCACTTCCTTTCCAGCCCTCGCGGTTGACGGATCCATAGTTGACAATGGGGGAGCGCGGATGCTCGCGGCCGCGTAGTCAGGGTTGCTGGGCGCAAACGTGAAATGCCGCATCTGGCATCCTAGACTTAGCACTCTCTTCCCATCTCCACGCAACGTGGGCGCGCGAACCATCGAGGACATCGTCGAGTTGTCGGGAACTATTCTCGTTCGCCTCCAACGCACGAATGACTACTGTTATTTTGAAAGTTGGATGGTTGGATGCAGCGAAGGGAGATAATTTCAGATTTACGAGGGTATAGGGACCAGTGGAATGGCATAATTGTACCAGAGCTCGTTCGAGGTCCAGTTCATCGTATCCCAAGGCTTGGCACTTTCTCAACCGAGGTTCCCTTGGGGGTGAGCCTTGTTACCCATTTCGTGATCTGGCCCGGGGTATACTACTTAGAGTGAATACTGGATGTACCGTCTTATCATGCGAGGGGTGAGGCAGTGGGAAGGAATGAAAATTTCTCCTTTGGAGACTTTATTCCGATTAACGCGATGCCATGATGAGAAGTAGGACAACCCAATTCAGTGGCATCCTTTTCGATCGTCCTTCGATCGTCCTCCTGCCATTTCATTACGCTTTCATTAGTCGGAGCAGCTGGTAAGTCATCTACAGGTTGCCATGGAAGATTTTCAGGAGAGGTGTGACCAAACAAACCGAAAGGGTGCTGGGCACTAAGGTGAGCATTCTCATCCGAGTTTCACGGTGATCATGCTCACACCCTGGGTCTCTGTCCAGCGACAAAGCATGCACACTCTTCAGGGTGCGGGATCTCCCAATTATTATTTTCTCTGTGCGATAGGCGGGGTTCCAATCCCAGTTATCGAAAATCAATGCTAAATGAGTACCCCACTGCCAGCTAAATATCTTATTGTGCTCCGCTTTGGCAGGGAACCGTGAAGGCTCGGTGCACGAGTGAAAGTCGATCTTCGCCAACCTTAGCAACGACTCAGACACCGGGCTTATTATGGATCGAAGGCAGCGTCCTTCCCGATCGGCTGGTTTCATCGCGTCGCCTTCCCTCTTCTTCCTTTGGGGTGGTCTCTCGAACCCGGCCTCCGAATGCATTCCCGTTGTATTCCGGAATCGTTCTGCTGGAGCACGGTGTTCGGAGATTTCATTTGAAGGAAGAGGAACTATCGATAGTGGGCTTTCCCGTAGTCTTCTTATTTATATATTTGTGTGCGAAATTCCCGCCTTTTCTGCCATAAAATGCATCATAGTCTTCCCGAAAGAAGACACGGGTAAGGCGGGGCGCCGAACAACGGTGGCAATCGCGGGAAAATCTCAAAATGATACCAAAGATAACTTCAACAGTCAGTTGTTTTAAAGTGAAGCTTCCTATCGGTAACTGTTCATGTCTCTAATTACGAAGCATTGCTCGCATTTAACCTGCTTTCATGCTTTAATGCAAAGACTTGAGCAAAATTTCCACGCGTCGTAGTTGCACTTCAATCAATTTTTATCTACTGATTTCTCAGCACTTCCCCAGGCTAGATAATTTTTCTGGGATTACGTCAAGGACGAGTATTTTAAAATTCACTGCTTGCAAATTTCGATAACCAGGCGTTTCAAATTCTTTTCTGCGTAAAACGAATGATGAGCCTTTTCTGCCTCCATATTCAAATAATTAATAAAAACATTTATTCATAGACTTCTTGTCGAAATATTCTCAAAATGCGCTCGATATGAGTACGAACCTGCTGGATCCTATTAGGTTGGTAAATTTAAAAGAAAAATTCTAATCTAATCCAATCACTTTTTGTGGCCTTCATCGTGAATATTTTATTTCTTTAACCCTTTCCCGTAACAAAATTTCACCTCGTATTCTTCCACGAGACCATCTGGAGGAATGAAATTGGGCATGGTTCTTACGTTCTCAACACAGAATGGCTCCAGCAAATTGGAAGCTGTAATTCTCCGGAATTGCGGAGAACACTGATTCTCGCTTTTTAAAATTTTCATTCCGGTATTACATTTTTTCTGCCCTTTCCCTTCCCTCTTGGGTAGCCTCTCCTGGGATGTTTTCGGAGAAAGTTTCCCAATCAAGAGGAAGACTCGTAGATCACGAAAAGTGCCCTTTTTCTTGCTGACAGTCCACCAATTTGCGATAAAAAAAATGAAGAGTAGCTGTCGTTCGTTTAGGTTTAGCGTGGGGACTCGTGTCCCGTTCTCCAGAGTTGCCGGATATCGTATGGAGTTACGTCGGATTCATGACTGCTTTGGCCTTCGAATCGGTTCCTGAGTCTCCTGTTTTTTTCAACTTTTCAAACATTTTTGCGATGAACTCACGAGAGGATCTGAGATCGAAGCAGCATTTTGCTGTGGCTGATCGTTTCGGTGGGATGTAGACATTCCGGGCACGAACATCCCTGCTGATGATGGCGCCCAGCATGCATTTCAATTTCGAAGGCAGTCTGTCCACGGATATCTGAGTCTCCCAACTGTGATCGAGAAACTTCAGGTAGGCCTAACGTTATACGTTTTCACCGAGATCGATCCCGATCGTCCTATTTGTCTGAAGCTGAGGATTGGGATTCTGTGAACAAGAAAGGCCAACCCAAGCCTGACCTGAAGGCGGTCCGTGGGTCTGGCTTAGGCCTAACGTTAGTGAGTTTCAGAGGTGATTGAAGAAAAGGAAAAGCATTTGGAAAATGGCTTTCACACATTCTTACAGTATTTTCATGGCGCTCTTACTCAGCTGAAGTGATGCTCTGCTGATCATCATATGCTCAAGCTATGAGCAAAATATGAGTTTTGCTGAAAAAGTGAAATTCTTCTGGTCATTGATTTTATGCAATCATTCGTACTCCTTTTCCGAAGGCGCCTGCATAAAACTTCTGGATCGGCGGGAAACTCTGATTTAAAAAAAAAAACAACAAATTTGCGTCGAACTCAACGGATTTCATGGACCGTGTGGACAGGATACGAATTCTACTTTCGACCGGACCAAAAGACGATCAAAACAACTGAATCACAGGTGGCATTACCGGGAAGGAGGTGAGTATTACCAACACCTGCTAGAAACTGAGCTTTTGCCGGCAGTGGACAAGTTTCTACTGGAACTGGCCGATGGAAATTCAATCTTGCACCAGGATCACCGCACACCGCCGCGTTGTGACAGAGTTCTTTACCGAAGGGAGAATTCAACTTTAACCACATCCTCCCTATTTGCCAGATCTCGCTTCGAGTCACTTCTGGCCGTTTGGCAAGCTCTATTCGTTGCGAGGAAATAAATATCCTTCCAGACGAGCCTTGGGCTCTGCAGTGGACCAGTTGTTCTAGGATGACTTCATCAAGTGCCAAGAGGACTGATCATAGCGGTAGCAAGTGTGTGCAGAGAGAGGCGACTACGTTGAGAAATGAGAAGTGGCTTTGCGAAACTTGGAATACTCAAGCAGTTGCAGTTTAACGACACGGAAATTCTTGATATTTGGCTGCGTATTATATTGACCGCCTCGCTAATTCGTATCTACTTTGTTGGACGGCCCTTTCTCTGCGGAGAAACCGAATGAGTCGTTAATCGACGCGTCCACGATACTTCCTAGGACCATTGTCTCTCGAGGAAGAACACAATATGGGACCGCCGCTCGATAATGCATCGGGCATTAAGAATTGTGAATCTGAGCGAGGACGAGGTCCATTCCTCCCGAACCCAGACAGACAGCATGCGGGGCTTCTTCCATTCTCGCTGGCTTTGGATGGCTCTCAGCTATCTTTCCGGTGAGTTTTCGATCGGTTCGCCCTCCGAAATAGAAAACCCTGAATGCATGTCTTCCTTGCAGTCGTGGATGGAGAATACGAATGGAAGGAGATCTCGAGCGCATCCTCCCAGACCCTCTTCAAGATCCTTCAGGACTTCATAGGAGTCTATGAGCCTCTCATAACCTTTCTTCCGCCTGTCAACGGCAAGTTCTTCCGGGCCAGAATTTTTTTTTGTTGAGACCCTTCCTTACTCAGGTGTCAGAGTAAAAGAAGCAGCAGAGTGTTTATTTGAAAACCGTAAGTTTCCTTATTGGGACAATCGCTCACTCGAAAGTGAAGAGACTGGACGGGGCCTGTAAAAAAAAACTGGGAATGGAAGGACTTATTTTGTGAGACCCTGCTCACTGCAAATGCCAAGGAATGGGAGGACAAACTGAGAGAAGACATGGCACTTGTTTTCTAGTTTGTGAAAATCTCCTTACTATCACAGTGTGTCATAGCCTGAATATTGCGGACTACTCTATTGTATATAGCGGGAAACTTATCGCAAATATGGGAACTCTACAGGTGATACTGGCTTGCTCTTGAAGCCTTGATTTGAGGACTTGTAGTACGAGGATGCTTCAAATGAAAACCGCAAAAAATGAAATGGCGTTTTTTTATATATTGGGTTCAAAATCTCTTCACTTTTAAAATTGGCTTCTACTCGAGCGCTTCACTTAATGAAATGCAACAGAAAGGCTTGGATTCCGTCCAAGAAGAACCCATTTGGTTTCAACCTTTTCCTTCGAGGGGAAGTGTTTCGCTCTCGTTGATTCTTCGAATGGCCCAAAAGCAGTTCCTAAATTGGGTAATAATAATAAATATTGCAAGGAGAATTTGGAGGACGGCGTACTCAAACGAATCCTTTTCTCCAATATCATAACCATTTTCATCCGGAAAGACCATGACCTTTCCCCGCAGGTCCCATTGCTCTGCGCTGATCTTGAACCGCATTCTTGAACTTCTTGAGCATCAAAAAACCTCAATATTTTAAAATGACAATAACAGCCTTCACCATGCACATTGATCGTCGCACGATGAATGATAACTCCTTGCATCTCAATCTGGGCGTTACACCAGACAAACCGCCATTTCTAACTTCATGGGGTTTTCAACACCGATTAGGTGTTGAAAAAAATTGGAGTCATACCTAGTAGTGCCTAATGAAAAACATCACCTCTCAATACAAAACATTTGAGCTCGCACTCACATTTCTAAAAATGATCAAATATAACAGTTTTCATATGAAACACCCTCGTGCAAAAGTCGCATCCAGAAGAGAGATAGGAACTTTCATAAGACGCGATGCATGCGGTGAAGCTTCCCGGTTTCCCCTTCACCGCGTCCTTTGAGGAGTGAGTGCAGCCAGGATGGCTCCGTCTTCCTCATTCCTCTTCCTCTAGAGATCAGGCAATGAAAAGGCGGATTCTCCTATTGAAAGTCCATTTTGGGCTCTACCTCTCTGACGCCGGATGCCTTTCCTGACTGGTGCCATCTGGGAGTCAAATGTTTTCCTTCACAAAACCCTCTGGTAGCACATAACATTGAAACTACATCGATTCAATGTTGATTCAACATCCGGACGTTGCCCCAACGTTGAATCAATGTTCATTCAATGTTATGTGCTACTAGGGCTAGAATGAAAATATCCTTAGACTGGCTTCATTCACGCTCATAACAGAAATTCTCCTACTTTTACCATGTTGGAATTTTATTTTAGAGTTCAGGATAACGTAGGTGGCGAGATATCTGCAATTATATGAAAACACTTGAGGTTTTCCCACCAGAGTTACCCAATGGGGACTTTCCGTATCCAACCATTACCTATGCCTGCAAGGACCATGTGAACGACGCCTTCCAGGACATGACAATCAATATTAATGACGTTCACCTTCTGACGTTCTGTACACCCGAAGAACTTCGCAATCTCAGCGTTCAGGTTTGTTTCAGCGTTACTCTGAGGCTGCCGTAACATCTTGAACAAATTTCACAATTCAGATAATGGTGCCTGGAGAAGCCTATCGACGTCCATGGAGCGCCGATGGTTCTCGTTGTTCACGTTTTTACGCAATCGGAACGATTTTCTGAAGATGGACGACAAGGAGCTGGAGAGAGTCCGATGGAAGATGGTCAGCTTGGGGGTGAACGGGACAGACATCGAAAAAATGTTGTCGGAGGAGAGCCGGGTGACCCTCGTCCAATTCGAAAGCGACGGGAGCCTCTCGCTTCGGACGACGATGCCGGAGCTGCGCGACCGCGGATACTACTTCCAGACGAAAGGACACTGGAGGCCGGAGGCGGGGTTCGACTTCTTGGACTGCCAGACGAAGGAGGAAAGGCGGAGGTGGCGGTGCATGTTCTACGACAGCCTTGCTTCGTTGGATTTTCAGGGGGCCTTGCTACACGTTTCCGCGAACGACAATCCCCCTTTCATCAAGTTGAACGGGACGACTCCCGTCTTTGGGATCGACTATCAGATTCTCCTGAACATGCAGAAAGCATTCAACTTCACGTGAGTTATCTCGTTTCCTTCGAGGAGGTGTTCATGGTCCTAGCTCTAAGGAATTCCGTATCAGAGTGAACTCGAGTGCAATGACTTCTTCGATATGAAAAACATTAAAATTATATGCAATGATACATTTTTTTTAAAATGCCTATCGACAGTTACGATGTGATAATACCTGAAGACGGTCAATGGGGAGCACCAAAAGCAGACGGTGTCACTTTCACTGGACTTGTCGGTGACGTCCAGAGCAGGAAGACCGATTTCGCCATTTGCGAAATCACCATCGATCTCACGAGGTCATACTTCCCTTGTCATTTTTTATCCTTCGGCTTTCGCATGTCTATTTATTGCATGCTAGTGCTTGCGAAGCTGAGATGCTACTTCATATGGCAATGATCCTATGTCTTCATCATGTAAGAGCGAGATGCAAGAGCTATCTGCTAATGTAAGCATTCCAGGTAAATATATTAACGTAAAATAATGCATATGGTTTTCACGTGTCCATCATCCCTTCGAGATGATAGAAAATACCCAAAGTTGAGAAAACTCAATTCAAAGCTACCAGTATTGTTCGGAAATGTGCAAGTACAATCCTAATTTTATAATGAAATCCAAAAAATTCAGATAATCACGTAAAGACCGAGAAGAACCGAGGGATAATCAGCAATCCCTCTCTCCCTGGAAAAAAAAAACCCTCAGGTCCCAGGCGATCGACTTCTCCCGGGGATACTTCTACCAAGCCCTGACCTTCGTGACGCAGCCGCCGACGGAGAAGAGCCGGGTCCTCGTCGTGCTTCAGCCCTTCTCCCCGACGGTAGCGATTCCTCCGTTGGCCTTTGCCGTCGGCTTCAGGGAGACATGTCGGCTTCGGGGAGACATGTCGGCTTCGGGGAGACATGTCGGCTGGGGTCGTCGAGGTCGTTCGGTGCGGGAATCGCGAGTCATCGAATTTCATCGAATCGAATTGATTTGTCGAAGGCAGCTGCGTTTGCACAGCCTATTCAGAGGAAAGTGTGCCACGTGCCTTTCTTTGAAGGAAAATCGCCGCGAATGCGATAAAGGATGGAAAATTTCGCGAACCATCTGACTTCACCTCTACCCGTAAAATCTTCATAGACCGTCGTCGTAGACTAATCGCTAGATGATCTCCGTGCCTCCAAATTCGAATTTAAAAAACGGAGATTATAATTTAATCCGAGTCTCTTTTCCTATAAAAGAAAGAATTAAGATTTTTTTACATTCCGGCCTTTTGATCGAAATCGCGATTCGGGACAGCATTTCGCAAATTAAAACCAACTCAATATGAACCTGAAAATTTGAAACCGACAGAAAATTTTCCAATTTCAACTCGAATATGAATCTCATTTCAATCACAACTCAACAGTAACCACGAAGTAACCGTTAGTTCTTTCGAATTGCTTCGTGCTCCTCCTTCATCGATGCAGAAAATTTTTTTTCGTCTCCTCGGCAGGTCTGGGGCTTGTTCGCCGCCACCATCTTTGTCTCGACCATATTCTTGCATTGGTTTACCGGTGCGGAACTCCAGATGGGAAATCGAAAGTGGCACGTGCACAGGGCGAGCGTCAACGATAGCTTCTTTCTCATCCTGGAATTGTTGGCGGTGGGGGGGACGGACCCGGCGGAGAAGCCGAGGAGCCACACCGTTCGAGTTCTCTATGCGACGTGTCTCATCGGGACCGTGGTCATCACGGGTGAGATCGGGTCTTTGGGTGTCATCACGGGTGAGCCTTGGGAAGTCGTGGGTCCGTGTTGAGACGCGATTTTTTTGGGTTTCAGGGGTGTACAGTGGCATTCTCACGGCTTTCATGAGTTTCCCCGGGATGAACAAGCCGCTCGAGACGTTAGCAGAATTGAAAGACGTGGTGACGACTTCCTCCATGACTTGGGGGATTCTGGGACCTGGAACCTCGCAAATGACCCTCTTCAAGGTTGGTTGACCTTTTTTGTCGTCCGACGGAAGAGGAGTTTCCTTCGACTTTTCCATCTATTCCAGGAATCGGAGGAGGGGCTCTACAAAGAACTATGGGACAGCATAAAGGACAGCATAAAGGAAAACGGAACGGAACATCTTTTTAGCAGCACGGACGGTGGGATCAAAAGAGTTCTCGGCGGGGGTTTCGCCTTCATCCATCCGAGAATGTCTCTCATGTACAACATCAAGACCTACGGTTACAATAACTTCTACATGGCCTCCGACCAGTTCTACTTCCAGGGTTCAGGAATAGCCATGCGAAAAGGATCGCCTTACAAGGACAAAATCGACGAACTGTGAGTCCCAGATCCCCCACCCCCCCTCCCCCTCCACCCCCCCACCCCCTCCCCCCTCTCCCCCCCCCCCTCCTCCTTCCCTCCCCTTCTCCCCCCATTCACGAAACCCGCCTTAGTCACCCCGCAAAACTCTCTTAGGATCATCCAGCTGCAGTCCGGAGGCCTGATCGGCCACTGGGCCTCCCAGCTCCTCCCTCCAGAGGTGAGGCTCCTCACGGTCACCGATCGCTCCGACTCGGACGAACGGCCGATCAAGATCGAAGACCTTCAGGGCGCTTTCTACATTCTCGTCATGGGATATGTCATGGCGGCCATGACGTTCCTCATGGAGCTGGTCGTGTTCTCGTGCAAAAAAAGGAAGGAACTCCTTCGCAGAGAGCAAGAAGCTTACAACTTCGAGCTTCATCTCGCCTTGCACTCTAGAGCGAAGCCGCGATATCAAACATATCCTGAACCATAAACCCACATGGCACTAATGATTATCGGCCGAATGCACAGGCCCCGAGTAGTTTCACAATTAGAGCACTTTTAACCGTTATTAAGGGCCCATGCAAAATACCCGATATGTACTTTGTCTCTGAAGAGTATTGCCTATTTTTAAATTGCATTTCTTGCCCGGAAGAGAATGCCTTCGGTGTGACGGAAAAGCTTTGGCTCTTCGGAACCGAAAGGCGCTTTATCTTTCAATGGTATTGTTTTACGCTTGAATTAGATAACCTTCAAAATATTTAGGAGGGAAGAGGAAATTTTTTTTTCCAAATTTGAGTTCAAGGGATTCTTCACGGGTGTCCGTCGCCGTCTATAACTGAAATTATTTAACCTTTTGCTGTAGCCAAGACTTCTCTGGAAATGTTACACGTTGGGTATGGTCGACTAAGAAAATGTTTCACCGGTGATCGCTCGTGAATAAAATGAAGCTTTCCTCGGGACTTTGGATGAGAAAAGTTCTCTTATTGCCTCAGATGTTTGTATGGTGATGGGAGGGAGAAAATTGCTCGAGGAAGAGAACCAAAGCTTTCATTGGTGCATACCTCGAATTCAGTATGTATTTATATAAGGTTTTCTGATGATTTCAATGATTTCATGAAAGGAAATGATTTCATGGCGCGAGGTGCAAAAAATGATTCCCCGTCCCTTTCATGCGAAGCGGACCTAAGCGCACCATCTTCTACGCTTTCCTTTTTAAATTTTTTTTTCACACTTTTTCTTCCGCGTTTCACTCAAAAAGGGCATTGACAAACCGAAACAAGGACAAATAAATTGATTGAGGTTCTAATTATCAGCCATTCCCATAGGTAATACGGGAAAATGGCAGATAGGTCGGTCACTTTGCCACTTTTCTTTCCGTCTGTCCGCAGTAACCATAGCGACCGGACAACACGACCCGCTGTGCTTGTGCTTCTTTCCGCCTGGGTCGGGGTGCCCGTCTTCCACTGAAACATCCACTTCCTTTCCAGCCCTCGCGGTTGGCGGATCCATAGTTGACAATGGGGGAGCGCGGATGCTCGTGGCCGCGTAGTCAGGGTTGTTGGGCGCAAGCGTGAAATGCCGCATCTGGCATCCTCGTAGACTTCATTCTCTCCTCCCATACTTCACACGACGCGGGCGCGCAGATCGTCAAAATACGTCAGGTTGCCAAGAACTTTTATATAGGCATATGCCGTACCGATGACAGTTAATATTTATTTGAAAGGTCGACGGTTAGGATGCGGCGAAAAGAATCATTCCAGTGGTATAAGGCCCATTGGAATGACAGATCTGTACCTGGGCTGGTACTCTTTTGTTCCATATGCGAAATTCTAATGAATCAAAATGTACAGGGATATTAACTTTTTTGTCCTAATATTTCCATTCCTGATAAGAACAATGACAGACAGCTGTCCTGTCGTGAGTTACGGCATGCACTACAAAATGACACAATATAAATCAGACAAGTTTGGCACGCCGTACAGATTTCGCGATTTACATTAGACCAGTCAGTGGAGGCAGGGTTGCCAGATGAACTCGTGTAATGTCACATGAAGTAGTGCTACTCGTGGCTCTAATCTGCCTCCACCCCCTCCGCCCCCACTCCCCCCCCCCACTCTCCCCCATCTCCCAGACCGTTCCCAATCGTATTTGAAAGGAGTCCCACAGCTGGGTTTGCTTGGCATCTTTTGGTTTGTCTGATCGGACCATCAGCGCCTTCCAGTTCGTGTTCTCGTTCACATGATGTAAAGCCTTTCCGTCGACCCCTTTTAGGTCAAGAGGGGATTCGTATGACGCTTCATAGAGCCGCTGTTACAGAAACAACCCGCCGACTCTAGCCATGAGGTAATTAATGGTCCGATGATAACGTCGTGAGATCAATGTGAACTAATTTCAACATTTGTGAATGATTATTTATTTCCAGAGAAGGAGGGTTAGGATTATAAAATGTTCTCGTTAGATTTGAAACGTTCGCGCTGAGAGATAAACAACCACCTACCCTGAGAGCGTGTCACACCTGATTTGTAAAAGTGAATTACCCTTCGATTATGGCCACAAACGTCTTTCGCGAACTTCTCCCCTCGTTCATCCTAAAATCAAATTCCAATCCGATCGGGCATAACTCGTCGAAAGATCTCACAGAAAATCGGACGGCGGATCCGCGGAATGCTCCATGATCCAATGCCGAAAGTAGGAGGCCTGGACGTAGACACCCGGGTAGCGATCCCTCCCGCACCCGCGGCCCCACGACACCACTCCGACCAGGACGTTGGTGCCCAGCAGCACCATCGGGCCCCCCGAATCACCCTGAAACGGGACAGTCCCGACATTTCTCAGTCCATTTCGAGATCCTCTTGGCATCGCCAAGATTTTCCGAAAAGGGTTAGCGGCTAGACCTTGGCACATTCCTCAATTTTTAAACCAAAACTGCAAATTTTCTATTATTAAAATTTTTTTTAAATTTTAATAAAAAATTAAAAAATTCTTTTTCAGAACATTTTAAGTAAAAATATGCAACTGGTATTTGCAACAAACAATGAGCACAAAATTTCTGAGATAAAGCAGAAATTAAACCCAAGCCAAGAAATAAATATTTTATCATTGGCAGATATTAATTTTGTTGATGAACCAGAAGAAACAGGCAAAACTTTTTCTGACAATGCGTTGATTAAAGTAAAATCTATTTGGGATAAACTTAAAATAAACTGTTTTGCAGAAGATTCTGGTTTGGTTGTTGAAGCATTAAATGGAGCTCCAGGTGTTTTTTCTGCCCGATATTGTGGGGAAAGAGATCACCAAAAAAATATACAAAAAGTACTAACCAATTTAAAAAATAAACCCAAAAGAAACGCTCACTTCATAACCGTTGTTGCACTGATATTGGAAGGGAAAGAATATTTTTTTGATGGAAAAATTGAAGGACAAATAGCAATGAATCCCATGGGAGACCAAGGTTTTGGATATGATTCCATTTTTATACCCAATGGATTTGACAGAACCTTTGCCCAAATGAGCAGTAAAGAGAAAAATAAAATTAGCCACAGAGGCATTGCTATAGAAAAATTATTAAATTTTTTGCAGAATTATGGGCATTAAACTTACTATATTAGGTTACAATGCTGCTATTCCCACGGCAGAAGCAAATCCCACTGCACAAATTTTAAATATAG